CGGTTTCAACAGCAAAGGATTGGGAAACAATTTCCACCAGGGTGTTGCGTTGAATCCCATCCATAAATGGATAGTTTTTGGGAAAAATCTTATCTTTCTGGGTGCCTGTGAAGGTTGAGGTTCTATTTATGCGTGTGCACCAGCTGCATTTCGGTTTATTGCAGGGGCCACAACCACCCATCGTGGTGCCCTCACCAGGCTCCTTGTATATATACAAGGGTTGCTAAAGGGAAAAAAATCCTACAACATTGTCTCTACAACGATGTTTCGTGACCTGTTACACTCACTCATCAGGAGACTTTAATGGGAAGAATATTCACCAGCAAGGAATATATAAAATTAGAGTCATCCCTAGGGTACTGCCCCTAGGGTATTGCTATTTGTAACGTAATAGCGCTTTGTTTCTGTGTCGGCATGAGGACACGAGTTCGTTTTGTTTGTTCAGGGTGGAACGTTCTGGCTGACGGATTATAATGAATTTCTCCAACAGGCACAAGTTACATCTTCTGTTGGCGCTGTTGTATGGTTTGGCCCTGGCTAAACTGTTCCATGAAATCCCGGGGGGAGGGGTACTCCCTTACAAGAGACTATTAAATGGAGATGTGCCGCTGGACGGGGTCGCATTTTCACGACTGGAGTGACTATAATGGGGTCGCATTTTCAATAGATTTACTAGCATGAGGTCGCAAATTTTCGGATTTTTGGGGTAAGAAGGGATTCAAAATGGGAAGATTCTCGGTTAAAAAATCAGAAAGTTGTTGTTGATTAAATTTAACAATAAGCTCGCATTGACCGCGTTACATTCCGCCGCTTGAAACCACATAGAAAGTGACTGAGTTGGGATCGCGAAAATTACATTTTCCAAAAAGTGACTAAAACGGGTCTATAACTGGCCAAAAAATAGACTGCAGTCGACTCCTGATAACTCGAACCTTCAAGGGAAATCGAAAAAAGGTTCGAGTTATCGGGAGTTCGAGTTCACGGGAGTTCGAAGAAAATAGCCGAGAGTAAGGTATGTTTGCTGGGTATGTACCGCTGGCCTCTCAGAGCCCCTACCCCATTATACATTCGACTCCCGATAACTCGAACCCTCGCTAACTCGAACCTCGCGCTAATGCACCTATCAATTAAAGACGAATTTCATTTTCTCTTCCATTGTCCAAAATACTCAATCCCAAGGGAGAAATTCTACAATCAAATCCAACAAAATTTTGTCGACTTTAATCAGCTATCTTACACAGAATTAATAATTAAGTTAATGAATTCACAGAATTTTTCCTTAAATTCACATTTGTTGAAATTTGTCTCATTATGTAATGATTTACGTAATAATTTGTTATCAAATCATGCTGATGACACTTGATTGACTATAGTAATCATTGCATTGCATTATCATTGTTATGATTTGTTTGTTTGTTTGTTTTTTATGTTAAAGCTTTTGCAATACTGTAACTACATAGTTATAGTCATGCAAATAAAGCTCATGTTGTTGTTGTTAATGTAAAGCCGGCGGGGTTGGGCGGGGGGGGGGGAAGGCAGGGCATGGGGTGGGGATTTGCTTGCCTTTGTTGGCCCTGGGGTAGGGCATTTGACTGATCTTGTTCTCCCAGGGGAGGGGATATTTGAATCTTTCTTCGCCCGACGTGGAGATATTTGACTGCCGAGTTGGACGAAAAAGACTGAGACCGAACATATTTTTCCCGCTTCCACGCTTCATGCATGCGCCGTATGGTTTGAAAAGATCAGGAAGTCATGGAGGCCAATGAGGACAAGCGAAGGCTGAGTGGATTTCACTGTTTTGTCTTCAAATTTTGTTTGTTTTAGCATGTTTTTGATCAATTGAACCTCTTAAAATACTGTGGTATCAAAGTAAACGGAAGTAAAGAGAAAGCAAGTCGATTTTTGGGTGGACATGACAGGAGTACCCTTTACTAAGAACGGTATATTTAAACTTACAAAATATGGACTTTCTCCTAAAGGTTTATGTATTCTACGCAGTGTAATATGTGTTATGGTTAAAACGTATGATTGCAGCTGTAACAGGGACATGTATCAGTTTGGTGATGCAGCAACGATTATAAAAGCACTTGCAGAGTTTTATTTGGAGATATTTTTATTGTGCCTTTCTTGTGTTCTGCCTTGGGATTGACAGCAATGTGCAGCCTGGGGTGGGGAAATTTGGTTGCATTTGACTGGAATGATTTGCCCGTGGACAGGAAATTTGAATTAAAATTTTTGAAAAAGGCAAATCTCCACCCCATGCCCTGCCTCCCCCCCCGCCGCCGGCATTACATTGATGGGTGCATAACTCGAACCAAAATCGATTTCCCCTGGATTTCCGTCGTACATTCACTGTAATTTTACCCTCGGTAACTCGAACCCTCGATAACTCGAACTCCCGCTAACTCGAACCAATTTTCGTTTCCCCTCAGGTCATTTTTCTATATAATTTTACCCTCGATAACTCGAACCATGTTTTGAGCCCTTAAAAAGTCGGGAAAAAAGCCGTCTACTGGCGTCCGAAACATTGAATTTTGGATTTCCTATTGACGTGTTGTAGCAGTATAGTTTACTAGTGGAGGCTGATGTAGATTGTCACAGGCTAACGTGAAGCAGCTTTTCTTCTCAAAACAGTAAAACGCATGCTCTATTTAGGCTATGTTTTGTTACGTTACGTTCTGATTTATAATCTAAAAGCANTCGAACCAAAATCGATTTCCCCTGGATTTCCGTCGTACATTCACTGTAATTTTACCCTCGGTAACTCGAACCCTCGATAACTCGAACTCCCGCTAACTCGAACCAATTTTCGTTTCCCCTCAGGTCATTTTTCTATATAATTTTACCCTCGATAACTCGAACCATGTTTTGAGCCCTTAAAAAGTCGGGAAAAAAGCCGTCTACTGGCGTCCGAAACATTGAATTTTGGATTTCCTATTGACGTGTTGTAGCAGTATAGTTTACTAGTGGAGGCTGATGTAGATTGTCACAGGCTAACGTGAAGCAGCTTTTCTTCTCAAAACAGTAAAACGCATGCTCTATTTAGGCTATGTTTTGTTACGTTACGTTCTGATTTATAATCTAAAAGCATCTTTTAATTTTCACTTGACATTTCTACAATTAAACAGTGCCTGGGAGGCCTGAAATAATAATATACAAAGAAAAACAAGAAGACGTTAAAGGTGAGCTTCAAAGTGATGTATTCAATGTACATTTTGCTAATTTAGTAAGCAAAGAATATTTCTTATCGCTTTGTAGATGACTGAAGTTTGGAGGCAGTTGCCTCTTAGTGGGCATGAATGTTTTTGCCGGCAGTTGCATTTCTTGCTTTCGTCATTCGCGGTTGTGTTACTGATGGCGTGAGATTTCAATGTGCGCTTGTTGTGGTTGTCTATGATCTGTTCCGTGTTGTTCATACAGCTGTAACTTATCTTAATAGTGTTTCTGTTGAATATTTTTCTGGGCTTGTGGTCTTTCGGGAAACATTTGTTTACTAAGGATAGGAATCGTTGGCCGATGTTTATGATGACGTTTTTACTGAATGGAGGGTTGTACCAGAGGATCTCGTTCCTTTGTCTGTTTGTCGTGGTCGGTTCACATTGGAGGGTGTATTGATAACCGCTCTCGTAAAGTGCTTTCTGGTACGAGTGTGAGGCTTGGTCAAATGAGGGATTGTCGGATGAGAGGTGCGAAAGGCGTTTGTTGATTCCTGCTGGTATGTTTTTTTTTATAGTGGGAGGGTCACGGTGGTTGCTATCGCGATGGACTTATTGGAGTATAGTGTTAGGTTTTGTGTACGGTTGGTAGGAGAAAAACATCAGCACAAACATCGGCCAACGATTCCTATCCTTAGTAAATGGATAATTTACTAATTGACAAGGTAAACAACGAGAGAGATCTGTTAGACAAGGAGCAACAGTGGGCGTATAGGCTGGGGTGTATAAGGCACATGGTTTTAATGACAGTGATTTCTTTTACAGCCAGAACAAGCGCGCCCGAGTACGGAGTAACTGTTGGATCGACAGGTGAGCGCGGTTTCAGTGTTATTAGCGCGCACCAGTGTCGTTCTTTAAGTCGTTATTCTATGTAGCGTGTGACTTGTATTTGAATTTTAAATGTTTATAAAGGCGTGAAACGCGTTTTCACGCCATTCACCCTCAGGAGGGTTGGTGTTTCCGGTCGAAACATAGGTGGAAAAAGATGTAAAATCACACTCTTCATTTGTGTTAAATATATATAGATAGGAACCGTCCATCTAAGCCCGAAAAATCAATCGTCTCATATAAGAGAATCGGTATTCCGGAATCTGGGAAATTTTTTCTTGTGGAAACCAGAATCCTGGGGTTGGAATCCGGAATCCAAGTATCACTGACAAAGAATCTGGAATCCACGGCGTGGAATCCGGAATCCACGGCGTGGAACCCAATATCCACGGCCCGGAATCCAGAATCCACGGCGCGGAATCCAGAACCCACGGCCCGGAATCCAGAATCCACGCCCGGAATCCAGGCTGTGGGGTGATTTACACGCGCGCTCGCGTTTCGCACGCTCTACTATACCTGAGGAAAAATGGGGGACTACTCGTAGTCTAGATTTGTGAACTGGGCCGAGTTGTTCAAAGCTGGTTTAAGATAAACCAGGGTTAGTTCGAAATTTGAATTCAGATATGAACGCTCAAAAAGCAAATTCAGTTTCATTCTTTTTGTCAACAATTTGATGATTGGCTACTCTAAAAAGAATAGGGAAAATTGTCCAAGAAAATGCTTTTGATGAAAAGAAAAACAGACCCGGGTTAAAATTTAACCCTGGATTAGCGCTAATCGGCCTTCGAACAACTGGGCCCTGGTGTCTGGCAAACTCTCCAAGTGTTTATATATACACAGTTATACGCACCTTATAACTTCTACGAGTATTAGCCATTTAAATGAACGCTACCGTTGTAAATCATTTTTGCCCCGGCGATATGTTTAATAACATCAACTAATGCGTAATTTCTTTCA